AAAGGAGTACACTTAAAGTTAAAAATATGATAGGAGAAAAAAATTTAAAAGTCAGCTGCAGGCCTGGAAAATATAGATGAGGAAATTTCCCAGGAAGTAGATCAAAAAGACAAAGATCTAGAATGCAAGCAAGAAAAGATCAGGAAATCAGGAAAACCATCCATGAGAAGCCAGCCAAATGAAAGGAGCTCCAGAGAGAACAGAGAAACAAAACCATGATCAAACTTTTCCCAAAGAAGGACATAAATTGTCAGACTGAAAAGGCCACAGGTACCCAGGAAGATGGATAAAAACAGGCCCAAGCTAAAGTCATCAAGTGTGAAATTTCAGAACTCTGGGAGCAAGGAAGATTTTTTAAAAATCTGATTATTTTTAGACTATCAATCTATCCATTTCTGAAAGGAATATGATTTAAAAACTCTAATTACAAACAATGAATTACCATTCTCTTTCTGTGTGGTTTTATCTATTGTTCCTTGGTATAGTTTTAGGTGCATATATGTTTGTGTTAGTTATACTTTCTTTCTATATTGTTCCTTTTATTACTTTACAATCTCTTGGGGGTGTTCACTATGATATTTTTACATTAAATGTTACTTTGTTGTATGTTGAAATTGTCATCTATTTTGATATTTGAAAGGAATTCAGTCTAATTTTTTCCAAAGTTCTTTGCCCATTTGTGTTATTTATTTCTTATTTTTAAAAGCAAACATTGGATGCCTCTTTAGCATAAAAAATAATAAAAATAAAAAACATAACATTGACCCTTTTAAAAATTTAATCTGAGAAGTCTGTGTCTTTTAATTTATTATTTAATTCATTTGCATTTATTAAATTATTGTTATATTAGAAAATATCTCACAATACATACTTGTAGGGATTTGTTTCTCTTTTTCTCTTCTTCTTTCTTTTAGATAGAGAGAATTACTTTTTGCTGGCTCAAAAGTTATATATTTTGGTCTGGTGTTGTTTGCCATTAGTTTGAGACCCGTATTCAAATTTATTTACCTTTTAAAATTTTTTTTTTTTTGCGGTACTGGGATTTGAACTTGGGGCCTATGCCTTGAGCAGCCCTTTTTTGTGAAGGGTTTTTTTGAGATATGGTCTCAGGAACTATTTGTCTGGGCTGGCTTCAAACTGTGATCCTCCTGATCTCTGCCTCCTGAGTAGCTAGGATTACAGAGCTTAGCCACCAGTGCCTAGCTTATTTATTTCTTAAACTTGACAATATTTATATCTACTTCCTCTTATTTTCTATATTACTTATAATACTCTCTTTTCTCCCTCCATGTTCACATCAGAAGGATAATGTGCCCATGTTGTAACAAGGTTTGGGGAGGCACATGTCACTCAAAGGTGTGAACACCCAATCATCATGCTTATGAGCCAAATGAGTTCTATTTGTAATAGTCTGATGTTGGTTTGATTCTTGTTTGTTGACAATCTGCTTCATCTCCAAGAACGTCAGAATTTGTCTTGGATGTTCTTATGTTTTTTGTTTGTTTGTTTTGGGCAGTACTGGAATTTGAACCCAGAGCCTTGCACTTGGTAAGCAGAGATGCTCTACTACTTGAGCCACTCCACCAGCCTGATGTTCTTATGTTTTACTTTAAAGTAGGTATAGATTTTTCTTTTTTTCTTTCCTTTTCTTTTTTTCCTTTTCTTTCTTTCTTTCCTTTTCTTTCCTTCTTTTTCTTTCTTTCCTTTTCTTTCCTTTTCCTTCCTTCCTTCCTTCCCTCCCTCCCTCCCTCCTTCCTTCCTTCCTCTCTCTCTTTCTTTTCTGGTGTTCTATTAGTCTGTCAGGGGCTCTTGTCTTTAATTTTGGAAAGTTAAGTCATTGCTGTTTCTTTAAAGATCTCATTTTCTCCATTTTCTGCTCTCTTGGAGTTTAATGAATATTGGCACTCTACTTTAGCCTCCAGATTTCAAAGCATTTTAATTTTTTTTTTTTTTCTCTTTCCTCATCATTTCAAACTGCTGCCTGCCAGGAGAATTCCTTATCCTGACCCTCCAGTTTCATTAATCTGTCCTTCAGCTGTTTCCTTCTCACTAGCAATCCTTCTTGTGCTCTTTACTTCAACTATTGTACTTTATACACTTAATATTCCCACTTGGTTCTACTCAGTGGCCTCTTACTTTTTCTTTATATGCTTAACATCTTATTTCCCTTAATTATTCTTATGTTTATTTTAAATTCCAAATTCATCTCTCAAAAATTCTGCCTCACACTGGATGTATTTTCATAAGCAAGGTACTTCTCAGGTGTCTGGGTACTTTGGCCTCTGAGTTCACATTCCTATGATGCAAATGTATGAAACTCTGAGGGCCAGTCTCATCTGTGCCCTTCTGATGGGTGTCAGTTAAGCACAGGGATGAGCATCTGCATAGAGAAAGTTAGTTCCTTCTTTCTGCTGCCATTATAACCAACAAGTCCTCTGGATTTCATTTGGCACCAGTTCCAACCTCAGCTGAGCACCCAGTTGTCCTGTGTGACCCCGCTCACTGGAGATTTGGGGTGCTGCCCCCAGTTTCTCTGGTGAATTGGAAGTCAAAATGGCATCAAGGGACTTCAGGAGGAGCAGGAAGAGCAGAATCTTTAAGAAGCTTCACACCGACCCCCTGGCATTTAATCCTGGTTCTGCATTAGAATCACATGTGAACCATTTTAAAAAATGCTCTCCCAACAGGTTCTGCCTGGACGGGGGAGGGGAGGTGGCCCGAACAATGTGTACCTGTGTGAGTAAATATAAAAATGGTAACATAAAAAATTTTTTAAAAAGATGCCACAGGCTATAGATCTGAATCATTGCTTATGAATGTTATTCTTATGCCATAGATAATCTGGTTTTCCTACTCTAGCTTCAAAGTCAGAATTTCTTATATTATGCACATATGATCATGTGACTCTTTTAATGTACTGTATAATTGTAGAAATGTTTCATGGTATGTTCAAAGGGATTCATAAATAATATATACTCTCAGGAGAAACTGTACCACATTCAGAAGGTGTTTTGGAAATCTGTTAGGGCTTTTTTGGTTGTTAAAATGATTGAGTATAAAAAGGACACATAAAATCTAGATGAGAATTTTGAACCAGAACTCTCTGACATCTGTGTATGAAAAATGAATTGGTACAACCATTTTTGTTTGGCAGTAAGTTACTAAAGTGAAATACATATATGTGTGTGTGAATATATATATATACATATATATATATATATATATATATATATATATATATATATATATATCTCCTATGCCCCAGGATTTCCTCTTCTGTGTGTATATCCATTAGAAATATAATCACATCATCACCAAAAGACATATAAAGAATGTTTGTAGCAGCACTATCTCCTAGTCACCCAGAATGAAACTTAAACAAATCTCCATTGATAGTAGAATAAAAATAAGTTGTACAAAATTAGAGATAAAGGTAAAATAGTTTCTGCCTGGTAGTGAGGGGGTGGGGGGGAGAGGAAGGGGGCGGGAAAAAGGGAGGGGGCGAGGGGGGAGGGGAGAGAAATGACCCAAACATTGTAGGCACATATGAATAAAAGAAAAACAAAGAATAAGTTGTAAAATATTTGTACAATGGAAAAATATACAGCAGTGAGAATTCACACACTATTGCTAGCCACATCAATGAGGATGAGTTTCATAAACATAATAGTGAGCAACAGAAGCTGGACACAGAAGAGGATACAAATTGGATAAATACATTTGCATAAGGTTCAAACAGAAAAAACTTTATTCTACAGTGTTAGCTATCGTTTGCTTTTGGGAGGGTGTAGTGGCTGGGATAGGGAGGAAGGGGAGGCTCAAGGTACTGATAATGGTGGCTCTTGTCCCCAGCGCTGATTACACTGGTATGTTCACTCTGAAAGTTTAACAAGCTGTGCAGTCAGGATTTGTGTACTTTTATTTGTGTGTATTATATTATGTTATTACATTTTATTTATGTGTATTTTTTTTTAAATGCTATTCCATCACTTGGATAAAGGTGATAAAGCCTGGAAGTGAGTATTGGTTTTCCCAACATTGTCTTTTAGAAAAAAAAATTGTATTAAAAAAAAGGAAATGAACCTACAGAACAGTTGAAAAAATAGTTCAATAATAAACACCACTAGAGTCTTCACCTGGATTCCCCCAAAGTTGCCACATTTGCCATTCTCTCTCTCTCTCTCTCTCTTTTGCTGCAGCATTTGGAAACAAGTTGCAAGTATCTACATCTAGTACTTCAACAAGAGTCTCCTAAGAGCAAGGACACGCTCTCTCTCCCTTTGTTGTGTGATTGAGTGCTTTTCAGAGCTTCCCGAGATGTATTTAATGTGCTGCAGGACTGAGAATCAAGGCTCCACCCTGTCTTCCCGCCTTTGTCTTTGGCTGCCTTGCCCCCCAACGCACATGAACGTGTGTGCATTTGACACACACCGCACACTTCAGACCCGCCAGGGCTTTCTAACAGCCCTTCTTTCCTCAAATCCATGTTTTCTCCCGTTTCAGTGGTTTCTCCAGGGTAGAGGTGAGGATAAGAGACATCAGTATGGGCTCAAGGTCACCTTGGCGGGAACAAAGCCCTCAGCTTCTGTTTATTTATTTTAGAATGTTGATATATTTGGTCAAGTCTAACTCTTGATAATGTGGGGGAGACATCAGCATGCTAGCAAAACATAGCAGTATGGAAAATCCAAAGGCAATCCTAATGCTATTCAATCTTGAATGTGTTCCTAAGTGTTCTTAAATGTGTACGAAATTATTCTTTAGTGAAAACAAAATAAAACTAACCTATGCTGTCCAAGGGCCCATATCAATTTGGCTTAAAATGCCTCAAATGGTATTTTAAGTTGCACAATCCAGCTTTTAATTTCCTTTTTTAGAAGTTTCTTGAAATAGTGTGTGTTCCCCAACACCTTTACCACATTGGATATTAGAAAATTGTAATTACTGCTTCTCAGTCCCTGGCTATTTTGCCAGTTGCTCTTGGCACTCCAGGCAGGAAGATGGTGACTGCAAAGAAGATGAAAAAGTCCGTGGAGTTGATGAACTCTAGGCTCCAACTTGCTCTGAAAAGTGGGAAGCATGTGCAGGGGTACAAGCAGACTCTCAGGATGAACAGGCAGGGCAACGTGAAACTGGCCATCCTCACCAACAACTGCCTGGCCCTGAGAAATCTGAAATACTATGCTGTTGACCCAAACAGCAGCAATAATGCTGAGCAGATACAGAATGTGAACACACTGCAGAGAATGCACGCAGACTCTCATTGACCCAGTGAGTCTGATATTAAGAAGCATGTCAGAACAAGCTGGAGAGAAGTTAACAATGCACATTATTTCTTTAATAACACTTGCCAGAGCTGGTTTAAAAAATTGTAATTATTTTTTTCCAGTCTAATGTGCAGGAGATAATGCCTCAGTGTTGTATTAATTTGCATTTCATTGGCTATCAGCAAGGTCAAGCATCTGTTTACATGGTAATTTAGTTACTTAAAAATTTTATCTGATATTCACAATATTTGTACATGCAATTTTTTTAATGAAAAGTCAGTAGTCTCTCTTACCTACCAATTGTACCTTGAAGTATCCAATATGTTCTACTGGTTTTGCTGTATTCTAATCTCTACATCATCCCCACACACATATGTACTTGTAAAGCTATAGTAAGAACATTCGGCCAGGCTCTATGGTACACTTCTATAATCCCAGCATACAGGAGGTTGAGGAAGGAGAATTGAGAGTTCAAGGCCAGCCTGGGCTACACAGTAGAAACCCTGTCTCAAAAAACCCAAGAGCTGGGGATGAGATTCAGTGGCAGAATGCTTGCAAGACACTGGTTGAAGTAGAGGGAGGAGGAGGAGGAGGAGAGAGCGAGAAAGGGGGGGTGGGGAGAAGAAGGAGGAAGAAGGGGAGGAGGGAGAGGTTGTCCTGAAGTTACCCAAACACTTAAAGGCAGAGTGAAAAGTGAGGGGAACCATCAAGGAAAATCTATTCATGCTAGGCTAAGGCAAACACAAATCCTAAATAGAATCCTATCCGAAGATGAAGCAAAGAAGACACAAACGAAAACAAAAGAGAAGGAAAGGAACACAGCAGCAAAGAGAGATGAAGAACATGTGTCTGAAAATTAAACCCTCAAGACAGATGAAAATTTTGGACACATTAACTTTCTAGTTTTGGTGCAGTGGGGAAAAGATCTGGGACCCCAGAGGAAAAAGGATAAAAGCAGATCCTTGCACAGCATCTAGTGGAGTTGGAGCTGTCTGAGCCCCGTGGCTTTCTGTTCCAATGATTCCACCTCAGGGAAATACCCCAAAGGAACCCTCGTACATGGGCCCAAGGGTACTCACTGCAGTGCAGCTGTGATTGGAAATGCCTGTCGGTAAGGGATAGATAAGTACATTTTAAAACATTCTTAGACTAAAATGCCATTCTAAGGCAAATGAACTAGATCTACTTATAGAATGATAAATAAATCTTGGTTGCACTGGGGTTTGAACTGAGGGCCTCACACTTGCTAGGCAGGCGCTCCACCACTTGAGCCCCTCCCCCACTATAAAACAGAGAATCTAAAAGTGCATGTTGAATAAAGCTGGGTTGCAAGGATACACATATTTTATGCAAACATCAGAAGTCCATCCAGCAATGCTGCACACTATTTGTAACCATACACAATACAGAAAAACCCCAAAACAGGGGGACCGTCACACATGGGTAGTGATGGTTGTTTGCTTTTGAGACTGGGATGAGGACGGCTCCACCCATACCCATTAGGTTTCATCTCTTTAAATAAATTCAATTTTATTTCTTTATGAGGGAGAGTGAGACATGAGGACAAACTGAAACAAATATGGCTCTCTGTGACAGTTGCTAAATCTTGGAGATAGATTTGTTGGCATGATTTTGCAATATTAATCTCTGTATTTTTCTAGGTGGTCATAACATTTCTGAATTTAAAAGAGAAATTACTGGGATGGTAGAAGTATTCTATGTCTTGATTATGGCTGTAGGTAGATGAATGTGACTACCTGTCCAAAAAAACAAACTCACCGAAGTGGACACTCACAGTGGCTGCATTTGATCGTGTGTAAATTACAGTCAAGTTGATTCTGGAAGAGAGAACAACTGAGTGAGGTGCTTGCTGGTGGGCGCTTTCCTAAGGCACCTGGTACTGGATGGAAGTAAAGGGAGCAAAGAGAGGCCACCGGCTATGGCTGGGGCTTGAGAGTCTGTCCCCTGTCCTGGGATCTCAGGACAGAAGGAACATCCTCTGCTTTGGGAGAGAGGGCGGGGGGAGCCCTCCTTTCAGGGTTTTGCAGAGTCTCATTTTACAGCATTGGGTGGGGAGGGGTGGGGAGGAGCTGACTGCTTGTGATGAGTTCATCGTGTTCTTTGGCACCTCAATGTTCTCTTCATTTAATTTTTCAGAAGCACCAACAAATCAGAAAAGAAGTCTGCCCTGAAATTGCTATTTGGATGAACGTGACATTTGTAGGCCAGCAGCGGAAGCTGGAGGAACTGATGTGTTTGCAGTACGAGCCTGTGTGTCACAGCCCTGGTTCTCAAACAATGCACACACTTGTAGCGGGAGAGCAGTGGCCTGGGTGGAAAATTACAGCTCAGCAGAGAGCTCTCAACATGGCAAGGAGGGAAGAAGGAAGGAAGGCAGGCCAACTAGAGTATATCACAGCCTTGCTCTGTGCCAGGATGGCCTCCATCTATCCCCAAAGCACACTGTCACCCACGTTAGAAGCTAAGAAGTAGCCAGGCTGGTCTGACCAAATCTGCTTGATGTCCAATTCCTGATCACGTGTCTATATTCAAGGGAAGGAGCTCAGTTTCCTTCTTTTATCTTCCTGTCCCCTCTTTTTCTTCCTTTCTGAGGAAACTAAGGCCCAGAGAGATTAGGGGACGTGTTAACATTTACCAAGTTGTTTTGGAAGCTGAGTCAGACCAGCCAGGGTGCTAACTGAATGGTGAAGCTGAGGATTAAGGGAGATCCCAGCTTGTGCACTAGGTTTGTGTCCTGGGTGCCATGTGCAGAGACGAGGAGCTTTATGGGGAAAAGAGCATAACTGGGGAAGGGAAAGGGAGCTACTAGACCTGAGGTGTCTTTGGAGTGACCCAGAAAGAAGTCCTGAGACATTACAGTATCTGGTTCTAGATTTGCAGAGAGAGAGAGAGACTAGAAATTTGGGGACACCTCTACAAACAAGTCTCAGTTGATTAGACTTTCTTCTCAGAGTCAAGGGGAGCCCTCAGTGCAAGGAGAAGAATGGACACTAGAGAGCCATGCAGGGAGAGGAAGTCACAGAAGGCAAATACACGACCTAATGTAGTACACTCACAGAGGACAGTCGTCAACGGGACTGATGTCATTCCCACCCTCCCATGTCTTTATGGCATTACAGGGTCACGTTGATATTTATGATGATACCCCTTCACACCAATAAATAATGCCCCCTGCCTCACACTAAATAAAGCAAGATGTCTAGCTCTGCGTTGATTTCCATCCCACAGCAAACCAGAATGGTGTTTAAAGGACCAAGTTTCCATTTCTAGAATGTTCACCTGGGGAAACCTCCTTCAGGGAGAGGTTATATGGGAAGGATTATCTTGGAACACTTTCTTGTTTGTTCGTTAACAATAGAACACTTTTGCAAAGTGTTCTACAGAGGTCTACCACAGAAAACATGAGCTTGACTTCTTGTTTTCCTCCACACTTCCTAGGGTTCCTTGGAATAGAGTTTGAAAACCACTAGGTTTACCTAACAAGATTACTTGGCAGGTGGACAAATAAAGGAAGAAATTGCCCAAGGCCACTTCAAACCATACAGCAAAACCCAGGACTGAGCTATAGTCTGGGGTCAACTCCCAGCCCTGGAGTTCCTGAGCATAAAAACATAAAGGCAGGCAGAGAAGTGGAACTCAGAGAAGTTAGGTAACTTGCTGTTGGTCACACTGTCAAGATCACAGTGTTCTTTCCTCTACATAACTCAGACGAAGTGGCCTGACCCACAGGATAACAGAAAAGAGATACAGGCTGAAAATTCAAACTATGGGCGCCAATAGAGTTCTTCCACTTCCAATCGGCAGGGGAGAAAACCAAATTCAATCGTAATTGCACTCAGTACAACACCTGCTTTTAATGATGGTGAGATTTTGCAGTTGCTTAACAGTGAGATAGAAAAAAATAATAATAAAATTTAAAGACCCTGGGTAGTTGTTCCAATTAAGTTCAATTAAATAAGCCCTCAGGTAGAGTAGATACAATAAGCAATGTCTTGTAGAATCCAATTTCTCTGACAAATACACTCTCCAGAATACAAGGAGGTTATTATTTCATTTGGTGAAAAGGAGTGCAGTATAGTGGAAAAGACACAAGATTTAGAGTCGAACAGATCTAATCCACATCAACTCACAAGCTATGGCTGAGTGAAAGCCACTACCAAATGCCTATTTCAATAGGCTGCCGAGAATTAAATGAGGTGATGCACAGGAAGTGTCGAAAACGTGCCCCAAACAGTCATCACATCTTCTGAAATAGATCGAATGACTACCTTATTTTTGAGGTATTCTTTGAATTTATCTGAAACATTCAAGGAAAGGTAGTAACATAAAAGCAAACTTACTAACAGCCCTGTCCCCAAACCGAATAGAATGAGAACAGCAAATAAAAAGAAATTTCAAATGACCAAGAACATGAGGGAGGTTTTGCAGCCAGGGATGGCTGGACCTGCTATGGGCTGAACGTGTGCATCCTCCATAACTCATGTGTCGGAGCCCTACTCTCGGGGTAGTGGTGTTAAGAGGCAATTGATTGTGAGGACTCCACCCTTATGAATGGGATTAGTGATCTTACGAGAAAAAAAAAAAGGCTCCAGGGACTCTCTCTGCCCTTCTACCTCTTCTCTGCATTCATCCCTTTAGCCTTTTTGCCCTTTCCACCCGTGAGAATGTAGCAAGAAGGTTCACATACCAAATGCCCGTGCCTTGATCTTGGGCTTTCAGCCTCCAGAACTATAGGAAATAAATTTCTGTTTGTAATCAGATGCCAGCAGCACCCTTTCCTAGTTGTGCCAGCCAGCTATGTCTCTAGGCTTTGCACATGTCCCCTTTGGGGGTGGGTCTTACCTTCAGAGGAGAATTGCTAGTCTAAGATTCTAAGATCCTTTCTTATTCCAGGTAGGAGTTAACCAAATCCAGACAAACCACCATGATTGCCTCCAGTTAAGAGGGAAGCAGAAGTCTTTGGAGGCCATAAACACCAGAACAAAAGCAAGGTTGGAACAGAAAGGAGAGAAAAAGATGTCCTGTGG